TGTGTGTGTGTGAGTGAGTGAGATGGGGACTTCTCTACCCCATCACCCTGGGTTTGCTGAGAGGAGTGGTGTGTGTGTGTGTGTGTGTGTGAGATGGGGACTTCTCTACCCCATCCCACATTGTGAGACTCATTGATACCTGAGCCTCTTTCTTCTCCATCCAGGTGAGGGAAGACTGGAAATACGTTGCCATGGTGATCGACCGCCTGTTCCTGTGGATTTTTGTTTTCGTCTGTGTCTTTGGCACCATCGGCATGTTCCTGCAGCCTCTCTTCCAGAACTATGCTGCCACTACCTTCCTCCACCCTGACCACTCGGCTCCCAGCTCCAAGTGAGGCCTCACTCATCTCCAGCTCCTCACCCCTTGATCCCTGGGGTTCAGTAATACTGGGTGGAAGATGGGTCTATTCCCTGAATCCACTGGAGCCCTGCTTCACAACCTCCATCCACATATAGCCCAGCAGCCTGGAGGCTGGACCAGCTGCCTCATGTTCAAGCTGTTCTTCCTCTCCTGAGCTAACTCAGGGAGTAGTGTTGATGGACAGTACAGGTGAGGGCTGGTAGGTAGAAGCCAGAGATATTAGAGCCATCCATCTTGAGGAGGGGGCTGGAGAAGGGGCTGAGAAGGAGACAGGATCATCTATGGCCTCCAAGTCATGGGAGAAGAGGAGGTGGGAGAGAGGCTGACTCTTCAGCCAGGTTGTCTCTTCAGATGGAACTTGACTGATACCTGCCCACTTAAGTGAACAGCAACTGGCCTAGGAGTGCCTGCAGTGTCAGGGTATTCTGCTGAAGGTTTAGCCTGGCCCCACTGTAAGTCTCTGAGGAGCTTCAGCTCATCCCACAGCCTGTGCCTCAGAGGACTCCAGAGCCCAGACCCAGGCTCCCTTCTGCCAATGCAGAATTCTCTGCACCCCTAGCCTTCCCTGACCTTCCTTTCTCCCATAGGAAAGACTAGGTGTTAAAAGAGCCTCTGTGTTCTGAGCCTTTGGAAGGCTTTGACTATGTGAGATGTACAAGCTCATAGTCCTTTGGAGCTGGAAGAACTTTTACAGTGCTGGGCTCCAATGAGAGCCAGGTTACACATGCAGAAACAGACCCACCCAGAAGCTTAGCCCTTTCCTCCCTTCCCTGAAACCCACAGGCCATTTGAAAGACATGAGAGATCTGAGCTGTGCTTCAGTGTCCCTCACTTGTCCAGTAGGTTCATGGGCATCTCTGCCAGGTAGCAGGGGAGACTTTGTTTTAGAACAGGAAATTGAAGGTCGTCTGTATTAGTCTAGAACCCCCTCAGACCTAGAGCCCTGGGGAAAGCATTGTGGAGCTCTAAGCAGCACTGGGAAAGGCCTTCTTCCTCTGAAGGGTGGCTCTAGTGCAGGCCTTCCAGCCTCCAGAGCCCTGACAACTGCTGCTGGGGCTGCCCTTGATTTACTACTTCCCACAAATGGTTGTCCTCCAAGTTAATCACAGGGCTAGGAAGGTCAGTGAGCAGCTCTTCCAGCCATTCTGTGTCCTGTTGAACATGTCGGAGCATGGGGGCCCAGAGGTGGACTGCTCACTGATCTGGAATATGGCGCCCTTCTTAGAACCTTTCAGCCTTTGTTCAGTGGGAACAGCAGTGGGCAGTGCTGTGGCTAGGCAGAAAGGACCTGTGTGGGGGGATGATCATTGGGCAGTGCTGTTCTTCCCACTTTGGGTGCAGTCTTTGGGGGCTGATTACAATGAGGGGAGGGGTGGTAGCAGGAGGCTACCATGTGTCAGGACAGGGTGAACCCTGAAGGACCTTAGGAAGCTGTAGAGACTCAGTCCCTGCCACTTTGGGTCCTCTGCCCCTGCCCTTGGTGCTGTCACATGCCTCCTTCCACATTGGGCTGTTTCTGGAGAGGTTCAGAGACCTGGTTGGGTGATGGGCAGCCCTGGGGTAGGATACAGATCTGAGGAGGGAGGTGGTGAGCCTGGATGGGAACCTGAGACAATGTAGTATGGCAGTGGCAATGAAGGAACTGGGAATTCTCATCAGTGACCAAGGCCCCAGTGGCCTGGCAACCACCTTTTCCTGAAAAGATGGCCTGCAGGCTCCCTGCCTGTGTGGAGTCCTGCAAGCCTGGAGCGGCTGGTGCCAGGGCTGTGGAAAGCTGAAAGCAAGGACACAGGAGGGGGCTTTGTGGGGAAGGCTGTCTGGAGGAAAGGGCAGGACCACACATTTGTAAGGAAAGAGGGCAATTAGGAGGAAGACTGGCTTCTGTGCCCAGCCTCCGAAACCCCAGTATCAGTCACTTTCTGCTGTGTCAGACTCTTGAGACACTTTGTCCTGTCTTACAATCCTGCAGGGATGCACCTGAGAGACCTGGAGGCAGCAGTAGTTTGTGTTCTGGGTCGTCTCACTGTGGCCTTTGGACAAGTAGAGAAACCTTCTAGGGGGTAAGCAAGGACATTTAGGGCCTTCTCTGAATTGTTCCCTGAGCCAGAGTGACATGGTTCCCATAGTCATCCTCTGCTTCCAGGCAGAAGTACCTGGTGTCAGAACATCTCCCCGAGTCCCACTGGCATGGGCCAGCCTCCCACTCACCAAACCTGAGCAGCCAAAACAAGTGCCATTTTGTACTAGTTATCACAACAGGTCTGGGAAGTCTGTCAGTGCGCTGGTCATGTGGTTCCCAAGGGAGGGAAGCTCTGGGAATCTGAGAATCATCAGGACACATCACTCAGCCCACTGTCAGTGCACTCATCTCCCCACACATTCCTAGGCGCGCCTTGTCTCCACTGCTGGTCCACCCGATCTCCAGATGGACTCATTTAAAGTTGTTTCCAAAAATATCTTGTCACTGTTCTGTTGGGGTCAGGGGGTGGGGAGAATGCTGGAGGACTTGTACTCAAGGGAGGTCAGAGCATTGCACAAGTCCAAATAAAAGGCAAGTGGCAGCAGCACGCTGCCCAAGTGAGCTGTCATCTTCAGCCCTGCTCATCAGATGGAGAAGTGGTCACCTTAGGCGGTATCAGAAACTGCCTGAGGCAGGGTGGGCCAGGGCTTCCTCTCAAGCCCACACCCTGGAAAGTCGGGACTCCCACACCACAAATCCTAAAAGCAAGAGTGAAATTGTGGGCTCCTGGGCAAAATGCAGGTGAGCACTCTGAATTTGGGAGCCAGGGTCGAAGCCCATTTGTGCATGCTAAGCAGTTCTCTACTGAGCTATGCTTCCAGCCCACAGTTGGCCACGTCCTCAGAGACGAGGGCACTCTATTTCCCTGTGTGTGAGCCCAGTGGCTGCCTGAGGACAGAGGCACCTCCTAGCTCCAGGACCTCTTCGCAGGAGACATCACTCTGCAACATCTTTAAACCTGCTCAGTGTTCTGAGCACTGTATCTGAAGCAGGCCATGGATGATACTAAGTAATACTGGTCCTTCAATGTCATGGCCTAAAACATGTCACCAGCTCTCCTGGCCTTAGCTGTCCCACCTGTACAAAGGATAAGGAAAGACCTACCACTTAACAACGTCTTCTGGTAGGGACTCACTGTTGAAAGGCCAAAGATAGATCTTCCAGAAATTCTCAAGTTACACCCTGGAAAGAGCCAAGTTTCTTTGAATTTAGGATGGAGATTTTGAACACCATCCAGGAAGTGAAAAGATGCACCCGAGCCTGGTGGCTTCTAGCTGCAACATCTTCCAAATAGCCACAATCCCACAGGCACTGCAGCTGTGAAGGCCAGGCGTGCGGACAAGGCCTCGAGAAAGTGATTTTTGATTTATTTCCAGGAGTGTTTCCCCATTCTGGGCTTTGAAATCCTGTATATCAAGCCCCTGGGCACAAGATACAGGGTGGTATAAAGTAGGGGAGGCTCTGAGAACATGGCTAGAGTGCCCCAGCCTACCACATTATGTGGCCAGGGGGACTGACTGAGCAGCAGGGCCTCCATGGTAGCTGGTGCTTTGGGCAGAAATCCCAGTATCATAGGTCCCTCTGTCCCCAATCTCCTTTGAGCAACCAAGATGTGGGTTCTAACAATCCTGGGTTTTCGCTGTTTTATTTCTGAGAAATGTATACTGTTACTTGAAAGGGACACAAGAAGCAGAATCATAAAACTGGACTGCAGCCATCAAGCACCAAGGCTGTGCCTGGGCTCTTCCCATTTGGCTCTTGGAATTACTGCCAAGACCCCAAAGCTAACAACATCCTTTCACTTGAATACAGGAAATAGCTTCAAGCATTGACAGTTTTTACAAGTGATTACTCAAAGAATGCACGACAGCCACAGTTCAGACAAATCAACTACAGAAATCATTAAAAACAGTGCAGAGGGGCCCTGCGTCTTCAAAACAAAGACCACACAAAATGAGAACACTGGGTGGGAAGCACTGCCCCTCTGTCCAGTGGGCTCCGAGGAGTATTGGGGCAGTGGGACGGGCCAGCAGCTTACTTCGGCAAGCCAGCAGGGTGCAGGGATGCCTCACTCCTCTCAGCAGAAACCCGGATAAGGGGAGCTTTGGTCCTCTGAGTGCCCTGGTGTGTGCTAAAGGGCTAAAGAGGCTGCTGAGTCAGTGCTGCCAAATGGCAGACCAGAGGGGAAACTTCCTGAGCAATCAGTGGGTGAAACTCTTCAGCCTTTAGACCCCAGGGGAGTCAAGCCTTTTCTGTCAGTCTCTCCCTCTTTACTTGGGGGAGGGAGGGCTTATCCAGACCCCAGGCTGAAAGCCAGACTGCTCTGCCCCAAATGCAGGTGTCAGGATTAACTTAACATGCCTCTAGCTGATGTGCCAAGTACAGCAGTTCTCTCATAACCTAAAGGCAGACCCTTGTCACCCCTCACACTGGCAACTTCCCTACTGGTTCCATGGGATGCTTTGGTGGTGTGCAAAGACATCCTTAGAGTATTTAAAAAACAGGCTCTTGTGTTGGCCGGGTTCTGATCATAGGTAGAGGAGATAGTAGCCATTAGAATCAAAGTGCAAATGTGGTATGGCTACTGTTGAAGAGGTGGGCCAGAGGGTGGGGAGCCAGGTAGCAACTTGAGGGGTGGAGGGGAGAACAGAAAACCATCTGAGGTTCTGGTACAGCTGTTCCCAGGTGGACACATCATCCAGAGGAAGAAGGTGTGCTCAGTCCTGGAGGAGAGGAACAGGGCAGGGTCCAGTTTTCTGGTTGACTTGGTGCTAGAGCTGGACTCCACATACATGCAAGTAGATGTTAGGGAGAGGGATAGCCAAGGAGTCTACCCCAGAGTGGGAGGCCAGACTGTCCTCAGGACTCCCAAAGGGGCAGGGCGGGAGATCCCTGGCCTGTGTCCTACTCATGAAGCAGCTTTTGAGGCCATCTGGCAAGATGAAAGCATGTGCACGAATGCAAAAACACACCTGACTCTTGTCTGCAATGCAGTTACAAATCAACAGCTCTGGCATCCTTTAAAAACACCAACTCATACAAGGCTTAGTCAACATCTGCTGGTTTCAGTGCCATGAGAAGCATCCCACATGGACCAGTGACTGCACCAACATGGTTTGCATTTACTCTTGCTCAGTCTAGGCAGAAATGATTCACTCTCCAGGACTTGTCCTGGGCTTTCCCTACCACATGGCGGGGGTCTGTGGCTCCATCCCCCACAAGGACAGAGCCTGCTTTTTGGAATGCTTTATAGAAGGAGACGGGAGCCACATTCCAAGGAATGTCAGTTCTCTCTGGTTAGTGGTTTGTGGGCTCCTTTGTGGGGAGGGGGGCTGTACTTGCCTGGGTCCCTTCCCCAGCCCCGTGGCTGGTTCTCAACATCTCTGCTGCCCAGGAAGGAAGGCAGTCCCGAAAGTAGTTCCCCTGGCTGATCAGCACGGTCCAAGGACTTGCCTGTCCCAATCACATTTAACCACATTCCCGCTATGCTGCAACCACCTGACTGCAGTTTTGTCTCCTGCCTTTGTAAACATTTCACCAAGTTCTTTTAAGTTCACCTTGAAGAGGTCTCCCTGGGACGGGGAAGCAGAAAATGACCACAGGAAGGAATCCCAAAAGGGGAGGGGAGGTTGAGGGGCCTGCAGATCCACAAGTGAAATCATCAGTCCCTGACATGATTTAGAGAGAACCAACTGGAACCTAATCAAGCCCACGAGAGGTCAGTGTAGCAACGGAAAAGGGGACTAAAACAAACAAACAAACAAACAAACAAACAAACTACACCTGAGGGAAATGGGCTGCAGGTGCTAGAGGTGGAACAAACCCTTTCTCTTCCTTCAGTCTCTGCCTCCTCACTTGAGAAAAAAGGAGGGGGCCGTAGCCAGACCCCCACTTCGAAGTCCCAAAGCAAGTAGGTTAGGTTCCTGGTACCATCAGTTATGGTTCCTCCATTAAAAAAAAAGGGTTTAAAAAAAAAGCCCCCAAACTCTGGCCCAATGTGATGAGGAATGCGATGACCCTCTGACACCATGGGAAACACATCATCAGTCATTGGGCACTGGGCAGAGATAGAAGTTCTTCTCCTCTTGGGGTTTGCTGATCCAGTTCCCATAGCCCATGTCCTTCAGGCTTTTCTTGAAGTAGTTCTTGGCTATCTCGTAGTCACGGGCGGCTTTCTTTGCCTCACCATAGGAGAGTTTCAGTAAATCTCTGCGGGAACGGAAGGAGCAGAGCTTCTTAAATTGAAGGAAAATGTTCTTTTTGGACACCCGGGACAATTCATTTCCTGGTCTGGGGAAGCAAAGGCACTTGTTACTCATCTGGGCACAGATGAAGTGAGAACTGTATAGGTTGGGTGGGCCTAAAGCTCTGGAGACGCAGGTGTGGGACACCCCTGGGAGTCTGGCAGTGAGCTGGCTGTGCCTCTCCTGCACCCTTCCACCTCCTTACCCATCCACAGTGCCTCTGGTGCCATCCAGGATCTCTAGGTCGTAGCCATCAGCCAAGCACCAGTTGACACTTGTCTCCTTAGTCTTTCCGGATTGCCTTTTGGAATCATACACACTGACTCGGCCAACCTAGGAATCCCCAGAATGATGGAAGAGAGATAGAAACCTTTCAGAGCTGAGGTTTGAAAGCAGGGACTAAATACTCCAGGGTAAGGGAGTGTGGGGCCCTGATCTTTCCCCTTGCTGTGACTGAGTAGACTTGAGTTGTACTAACTCCTCCATGATTCAGATTAATTCGACTGAGAGTATAAGCCCCAGATATGCAAAGGGAGGAAAAGTAAGCTCTTGGGACACCAGCAAGAGTTCCCCTTTCCATAAGGTCTATTTTTGCTCTGTTGACAGGACTGCTCGAAAAGGAGAAATGTATCAAGAGCAAATAGAAAGGGGTTATGGCACCTTGGGGTGGTTGACAATAAAGGGATATCGTAGTCCATCCTCAAATGCAGTCCCATCTCTTGTCACACGGCAGCAAATAGCACGGGTCAGATGCCCCTGGCTGAAAAGGTAACCTGAGTAAAGAAAAAGTGTAACCTGGGTTTGTACCAAATGCTACTGAGAGGCAGAGGCACACAGGGAGTTTGAAGATACAAAAAAGAGTTGTCACACTGGGTGTAGTGGTGCACGCTTTTAATCCCAGCACTCAGGAGGCAAAGGCAGGGGATCTTTGTGAGTTCGAGGTCAGCCTGGTCTACATAGTGAGTTCCAGGCCAGCTGAGGCTACAGGGAGACCCTGTCTCAAAAAGACCACAAAAAAAAAAAAAAAAAAAAAAAGAGTTGTCACAACAGAAACCAGAGAAACAGCTCCTTTGATATGAAGCACTTGACTGTGGCCACCCAGAACATACAAGGACATCAAATATCTACACACAAAATAGAAGGTTCTAAGAAAGGCTGAGGGTTGGGGAGACCATGGAAAGTAAAACCGTATAGTTTTAAGAGGTGTGTACTTCATCTTGAAACCAGGCCTGGTATGTCTTTTCTTGATCTGCTGCCCAAGCCTATCTTCCCTCCATGGCAGACTGGGCCCTTAGACTCCATTCCTGAGGTTAGAATCGAACTCACTTCAGAGGGGAAAACATCACTTTAATAGTGGAAAATAGGGCAGGCATACAGTTTGCTGGGATTTGGGCAAAGGACAGATGGGTTCCAGCTCCCAAAGCAGGTCCCTTACCTAGTGTGACAGATTTCAAGTACACGGGCTGTAGGAAGTGGGTCAACAGTGCCCCTTGCAGGCCCAGCACATTCCATCGTAGAATTTTGTCACTACAGGACATGGTACGGAGTCTCTCCCCAAGCCGGATGCCATCCCAAGTGGGCACAATGTCACTGGACTCCACAGGGATTGTGCCTTCCCCTGCAGGAGACTTGAGTCAGACTCACAGGTCGCCAGATCAAACTATGCTTTGGCATAGTATGTGTGCTCCTGAGGGGTGGCCCACTGGCTACCTGTATTTCACAGTACTTACTATGTGCCAGGTACTGTGCTTGGTGCTAGGCAACACTGTTAAGAAGAACTCAAGATTAGGTCTTCCTGCAATGTTTATGAGGTGAAGGAATAGGAAGGGAATGGGACAGACACTAAATGAGCAAACCAACACCAATGAGGGCGCTAAGATGGGACAGCACAGAAGCTGTGACGGCAACAGTTAGGGGAGCTGAGAGAGAAAAACAGCCCTGTGCACAGGCGAACAGAACGAGCAAAGGCCCTGAAGCAGTGTGGGGTTTGGCATTTCAGGGAACTGGCAAAGAGCAAGTGCAACTGGAGTTCCTGTGTGAGAAGAGTGCTGTGGGTCGGGCTGGAGGTCGCTGAGAGTCCTGGGAAACCACGTCCCCTTTTCAAAGTGGGGGGTGTGTGTGTGCTGGGACCGAAATCAGGGCCTTGTCCATGGTAGGTAAGAGCTCTACCACTAAACTACACTTCTAGTCCTTGGTTTTATTATTATTGTTGTTGTTTTAAGTGAGTGTGTGGTGTATGCATGTGTATATGCATGTACCTGTACAAATGTGTGCTCCTGTGTGTGTTTAGGCCAGAGGCTGACCTTAGGCATCTTTCCTGGATCAAGCTCCACCTTATTCTTTGAGACAGGGTCTCTGAAGCTGAAGCTCACTGATTTGGCTAGGCTGGCAACAAATGAGCTTGAGGGACCCTCCTGTCTCCAGCCCCCAGCACTGAGGTTATAGGCACATGCACACTGACTTGGCTGGCCTTTTATGTGGTGGGTTCTGGAGACTGAACTGCTGTCCTACAGCAGACACTACACAGTTCTGCTATGTAACCCAAGCTAGCTTCAAACTTTTGATCCTCTTGCCTCAGCTTCCCGAGTGCTGGGAGTATGCTACCATGTCTAGCTGTTTTTGTTTTTTTTTAATAGTTTACTTATTATTTTTATGTGTATGAGTGTATTGCCTACATGTAGGTAAGTGCACCCGTGTTGTGCAGTGCCTGCAGAGGACAGAAGAGACCATCGGATCCCCTGGAACTGGAGTTACAGACAGTTGTTAGCTGCCATATGGATGCTGGGAACTGAGCCCGGGTCCTCTGCAAGAACAGTGTTCTTAACTGCTGAGCCATCTCTCCAGCCCCTTTTTGTTTAAGAACAGCTTTATGCCAGGCATGGTGGTGCATGCCTTTAATCCCAGCACTTGGGAGGCAGAGGCAGGCAGATGTCTGTGAGTTTGAGGCCAGCTGGGGCTACCAAGAGACCCAATAAATTTTAAAATAAACTTTAAAAAACAGCTTTATTAAACTACAATTCCTATGCCACTTAAAGCACACAATTCACTATCACTGGAATCACCTGACATGTGTCCTGTGATTTGTTTTTTCAGCTAGCATGTTTTCAAGGTTCATGTTGTGACATATCAGTACTCAATCCCTTCTTATGGTGGATATATTCCAATGTATGGACATAGCATGTTTTATTTATCCATTCCTTGGAGTATGGGCACCTGGGTTCTTTCCACTTTGGCCACTGTAACTAATGCTGCCATGAGCACTCCTGTACTTGTGTCTGTGTGGACACACTTTCACTACCTTGGGTGGACTCCTGGTAGTGGAACATGGGTCCTATGGTGATTTTGTTTACAAAAAGGAAGGGGCAGGACTTAATTTATGCCTGAGGACCATCCAGGTGACACTGAAATGTGAAGGGACAGGAGTGATACAAAGAGACTAATGTCCTCTAATGAGGACTGAAGAGCGGATGCAGGGCGACCTTGACAGAACAGGCTGTTAGCATCACATCTGCCAGCTCAGCAGAACTCTAACCCATTAGTTCCCTTAATTTCTTCACCCCACCCCACCCATGCCTGTGACCATGACCATGACCATCCCACAGGAAAGGGCTCTATTTTATTTCTAGTCAGACTTTTTAACTTGAGCCTGTAGGCATCTCTACTTCCTAAACACTTGGAGACTGCCCAGCTCTCCCAAGCTAACAAATCTCACATGGACTCTGATGTTGCTCCAGGGCTTCCCACCATGCACACACTGCTTGGCTGCCTACTTGCAGTTTGTGGAACCTTTTGTGGGTGGAAGGGAGGTCACACGTCACTCACCATTCTCCACCTTGGTGCGGAGCTTGCCTTGCTTGGGGTTCTCGAAGACGGGGTAGTGGCGGGAGTCTGTGCTCTCCACAGCACGGTCACTGCAGGATTTGTCAAATAGGGCTCCATCTCCACACGGTGCCGTGCTGCCAAGAGGGGTGTTAGTTAAAACTCCCCCTTTGGATCTCACTCCAACTTCATGAGTCTCAAAGTCATTTGTTATCAAAGGCAGGGACACTTTTTCAACTGTGGGATACTGGGTGGGGTGTGTGTCTTTCCCTATCTGGGTATGTACTTCAAATAGGCCACACAGCAAGTATGACCCACTGTGCAAGGTCAGCATAGGGCTAGGAGTATATGGACATGCAGCCCAAGGGCAAGGTCAGTGTAGGGCCAGGAGCATGTGGACACGCAGCCCAAGAGGGCTGGCGGCAAAGGGGCAGATATCCACCTGATATAGAGATGAAACGAAACGGTCTTCTTTATCTGGAGCTTTTCTCCTCCCCTAGCAAGCTCAAATATGCTGTTCTTGGCAGTGTGCTGGTTGTACTTCATTAACTCACTGTAGAGAAACCTGAAAACAAAGGGTGGCTAGGAAGGCAGCGGGGCAGAGCAAGCTGTGCTTGTACGTAATCCCTCTACAGGAGCTCAGGTACGGAGAAACCCGGTGCAAAGCTTTCAGCTTCTTGGGAGGAAGAGGTGCTGGAGGGCCTCAGCATTTCATAAAAACAAGATTTGGGGGCAGCTACAGGATTCCAGGCAGAATAAACAATTCAAGGCCTCAGGAGGCTACTGCTTCTCCCTGACTTTCTTCATAAATTAAAAGAAAGGTGAACCCGAGGAGAAAGCCGGCAGGGGCACTGATGTTATGTACAGGTCCTCACAGGGAGGAGGGCTGCTTCACTGGAGGCCCTGAGGACCCAGAGGTCACTGTGTTTTGAAAAGAGAGCATGAAGAAGAGTTAGCAGGAACAGGCCAGAAACAGGCTGAATAGTGGGTGGGGTGCAGCTGGGTCACAAAGGGGACTGATGCAAATGACAGGTCAACTGCACAGGTCAATTGACAAACGATGCCAATTGCTGTTGGGAGGTGAATGGATGGGCAAGGAAAATGGGGGTGGGGCAGGGCAGAGGAAAAGGAAGGGAAGTGGGGGACAGGGCAGGTCTGGCACCTTCAGCTTCACTCACCTGATGAAGCCCCTCCGGGAGATGATTTCTGCATGGCAGTCATTGACAGTTTCTCCCTTCAGGCTGAGAGAATCTCCTTTTACACAGCGATTCCCTGAGAAAGGAGATAAAACAAAAATAGGGTGAAGAGTGTTAAGTTTTTCAGGCTTAAAGGCAGGAATGGCCTCGTTTGTCAGATTCTGGGCTCCATATTCTCTTGCCTAGGGAGTAAGAACTCATCCCTGGCTAGCACAATTATAAGCCTGTAATCTTAGCACTTAAAGGCTAAGGCAGGATGAAAGGTTTGAGGCTGGTCTGGGCTACCCTGTCTCAGAACAAAACACCAAAACCAAAAAGAACCCCAAAGAAACAAAAACCTCACCCCAAACCTGAGCTGCCTGAAGCTGAAATGAACAGCAGGCTGAGTATTCCTTACCTAAAACGCTGAGGACCAGAGTGCCTCAGACTTCAAAGATTTGGGGATTTGGAATGTTTACACAGTTTAACTGTTGAGCACTTAACTCAAAAAATTCGAACTGCACCAAACTCCAAAATTTTTTAAGCATCATGTAAGCATGCTGTGGTGCCTAACCTGTACGGTCTTTGCCTTCACCTTTGGACTTGCTTACACTGACTCTAGAGGGTGAGAATGATCTGCTGCTAGGCCCTGGGTGAGGTCAATAGCTCAGGGGCACTCACTCACCTGTCCCCAAGCTTACGACGACACCCATGTCCTCAGAATTTTTCTTCATGATGATGGCAGCCAGGATCTTGCGGCCGAGGAGGGAGGGCTGGAAACTGTTGGTGAGAGCATTGAAGCACCGGTGGCTCAGCATAGCCATCTGGTCGTGGAAGGTGCTGCCGGTGAGAGGAAGCTGTGGGGACGGGAGTAGGTCAGGACCACACAGCCCAGTTGGGGTCCATTGTATGTCAGTTGGCAGGGGAATCAGACTATCCTTGACCTGGGAGTCTTAGATCAAGCACTTGACCCCAACACTTGCTCAGTGAATGCACTGAACCTAGCATTAAAGCCTTGGGGTAATTACATGAAAGTGAAAAGCTGCCTCCACCCAGGGAGGAGTGAGCAGGATCCCCCCACCCACCAAAAAAGCAAGCACCAAAAGTAGATGTCTTAACTGTCTTTGGCTGTGCATCTGGGGACCTGGAGAGGAGGAGCAAAGTTCTTCTGAGACTGGCCCCTGTCACTGGGGTTACCTCTGAGAAACCCAAGTGCTCTGCCTTCTCGCTCTCCCCAATCAGGACACGGAGGGCCGCATCGGCTGCGTCCTGCTTGCCTTGCTTCTTGCTGTGTGCACACACGGCTGGAAACCAGCGGCCCCCAACTTTTGCTTGGTAAACGAACCTTTGGGATGAAAATCAGGATGAAGGCAAGCAGCAGACCCCCACAGCCATGCAGGGAGGGCTAGTTTTGCTTATGAGAATGATGCTGACCTTGCAAACACAGGACTGTCTCAATTTGACCAGCACTTCTCAAATTCTAGTCAGTAACGAATGAATGAATCACATGATTTTTTGCAGATCCAGATGTCGGCTGAACTATTCCTTAGTATTTTCTTCTAACATTCCTTAGCATTTTCCTTTAAACAAACCCATCAAAAATACAAATACATTTAAAAAGTAAATTTCACACCATTACCGTAATTAGGAAACCAGCGCCGTCTGCCATATACTGAAAGATTTAGAATTTGGAATACTTGCACAGAGTTTACCTGTAGACCATGGCTGTAAAACTTATAAAATCCTATTAAATTCTATCTAGACACCGTACTGTTACTTGCAAAGTCTCCAGGCTTTTATTATAAGGGAGATGAGACTACTGGAAAAGGATTCCTCTCAGGCTGAGGAGATAGCTCAGTTGGTAAAGTGCTTGCCTTATAAGCGTAAGGACTGGAGCTCCACCCCCAGAACCCAAGTGAAAAAAGCTTGGCATGGTGGTGCATGCTTGTAAGTCCAGCCAATGGAGAGGGGAAGTCAGGTGGATCCCTGGGGCTTGCTGGCCAGCCAGCCTAGCCAAGTGAGAGACCCTGTCTCAGAAACAAACAACAAAAAAACTGTACAGCAACTGAAGAACGATACCCAAGATTGTTTACTGGCTTCCATGTGTGTGTGTGTACATTTGCACATACACCCCAGGTGTACCCACATACATGACCATATACATATACATACACACACACAAAAAAAAAAGAGAGAGAAAAAGGTTTCTTCTCAAGTAAATGAAGGGAATAACTTTCTTCCCACATATATAGGTATCTAGCACAATGTCGGATTCACCCACGCCCACTAGAGCCTCATCCCTGTTAGGCAAGTGCTCTACCCGATATCCCTAGCACTGTCTGATTTTTAAAGTATTCAATTCCATTTTCTTTTCTTTTTCTTTTTGTCTTTTTGAGACAGGGTCTCCCTGTAGCCCCAGCTGTCCTGGAACTCACTATGTAGACCAGGCTGGCCTTGAACTCACAGAGATCCACCTGCCTCTGCCTCCCGAGTGCAGGGATTAAAGGTGTGAGCCACCACGTCCTCGAATTCCATTTTCTTGTACATGTCCTGACAACCTGGGGACTTAAACTGAAAAGGTTATTACACCACGGCCTGCCTTAGGCCAGGGAGCCAGGCTTTCCCAAGGAATTATGTGTCCATTTCCAGAAGGCCTGAGCTAGCCATGGGGGAGGAAATGACCACAGCTCTGTAGCAGGGAGGAGTTCTTACTGTGTCTGGGGTGGATTGCCACAAACCCAGAGAGAAGATGAAACACAGCAGTTTGGAAACCTCCCAGGCTGTCCAAGCATCCCTCAGCAAACAGCTGGCACTAAGCCTGTGGTGGGCTCACTCCCTACTCATCCCTGACCTCCTCTCAGTCCTTTTATCAGCTCCATTCTCTTTCCACCACAGGACTAGAAATACACAGTATCCCTTGGTGTCCATGAGGGATGGACCAAAATCAGAGAATGATATAAAATGGCATGGTATTTGCAAATAACCCACACTGTGTGGTTGCATCAGCTATAGATTACTTACAATCTATAACTCATGTAAGAGATGTGTTTGTTACCTTGGGGGGGGGGCAGGCATGGTGGTATACACCTTTAATCCCAGCACTTGGGTGGTAGAAGCAGGTGGATCTCTGTAAGACTGAGGCCAGCCTGGTCTATATAGCGAGTTCTAGCTGTCTGTCCCCCTTCTCTTCAATAAACTTAGATACAATTAAAAAGAAATTCAGTCTGTGCTTGCCTGAATCTACTGCAGAACCAATGGACACAGAGGGCTGCCTGTCCTGGGTCCTTCCTTTCCTCTTGACCATCTTAAGGTTTTAGCTCAGGCACTGTTTCCTAGGAAGCCCCCCTCTTTCCCTCCCCAAGTCATGCTGTGTCAGCACAGATCCTTCCTCAGGACAAGTCCAACCCTTCTGAAAGTCTTATCAATTATGATCTTATACTTCCTTAGTGGCTGCAGGTTACTACCTGGCCCCTGAACTAACAAGCAGAAGGTGCTCTACAAACAGGTGTTAAGTAGTCACAAAGACTGCTTCCGGGTGGGCCGGGTGAGAGAAGACAGGGCTTAGACTAGTGTGTGGGCATCAGCAGTAGAAAGAAGGAGTGGAGGGACTTGGTATAGAAACTGTATAATCAACAGAGCTTGGGGGGCGGTCCTCAAATTGAAGATAAAGGGGAAGGCGGAACACAAGGATTCTTGGGGTTTGGCTTGAGGACTGAGTAAACAGTGCTTACTGAGATGGTAAAGATTTGGAGAAGAGGTCAAGGTGGATAAAAAAGAGCTCTGCTTAGGATATGTCATTTAGAGATGTCGGAATAGAAGCGACACACAAGTAACTGGACACAGGAATCTGGAGCGCTGAGGTTTGGGTAGAGACACAGCCTCCCCAGTGCTGGTATTAAAGGCATATACCAACACATCCAGCTTATTAGGCATATTTTTTAATTCTTAAGAAAACACTGGATGGGTAACAGAGCTAAGCTGGTAAAGTGTTTGTCATGCAAGCATGAAGACCTGTGTTCGATCTCTAGTATTCACATACACAGTTAGACAGGTGGGTGAGCTTATAGTCCCAGCACTGGGGAGGTGAAGACAGGAGGAGCCCTGGGGCTCACTGGCAGTCAGCCTAGCCTAATTGGTGAGTCCCAGGTCCCACTGAGAGACTGTCTTTAAAAATAAGATGAACAGTGCCTGAGGAAAGATACCTGAGGTTGATCTCTCACCTCCATATGCATGTGCATACATATGCGCTTGCACACACGCCAACATACTTGACACCTGGCCTTTCCATTTGCAACACACCTTGGAGATGGTTTCATGCAGATATGTTTGTATATATCCCTGGTTAGTATTCCTTTCTGTGTACGTAGCAGCTTACTTAACCAGTCTGCAAATGGTGGAGCTTTGGACCATATTCAGTCTTTTACTTCTATAATGATGCTGCAATGAAAATCTTTCTGTCTTGTCACGTACAGTATATACGATACAGAATTCTACATACAATTCAGAAGTGGCAGACCAGGTAGGAGGCAATGCTCTTTACTCTTAGCTATGAAAGAGATGAATTCTAACCTGTGGTTCTAAATCCAAGCCAAAGTGAGTAACTTGAGCATTGTTGAGAACTTTCTGTAATAATTCATTGTTTCCTTTTTTGTGAATGTATAGATGACATACTTTGTCTATTTTTCTCTTAGATATTTTATTAAAGTGGTTTTTTTTTTTTTTTTTAGTTTTTTTGAGACAGGGTCTCCCTGTAGCCCCAGCTGTCCTGGAACTCACTGTGTAGACCAGGCTGGTCTTGAACTCACAGAGATCTGCCTGCCTCTGTCTCCCGAGTGCTGGGACTAAAGGTGTGTGCCACCACGCCCGGCTTGAACATTCCCTGTTTTTAAGAGATTTTTTTCTGGGATAGGGTGTAGCTCAGTAGAAAACGCTTACCTAGCCTGTCCCTGGTTTGGGCCTCTGTTTCTGACACAGCTTCTCCTGTCTCCTAGCTAGCAGATTTGCTTTCTCCATCTCTGACATTTGCTCATTCCACACTGCCGATCTACTGCCTGGCAGGACTGTGCTTCCTTTTCTGGTTGTGTGGTAGCAGGTGAGTTCTCTCACTGCCTGCCCAGCTACATACTGCTGCATATGGCAAAGCTTGATTAACTTAGTGTGATGGTCACACCTGTAATCCCAGCACTTGGGAAGCTAGGCTACATAGTGAGACTTTGCCTAAGAAAAAACAAAAATAAAAATAAAAGATAAGATGGTATAGAAAGTTTTCCAAGATAATACCGCTGGGTAAATATCAAGCTATAAGATCACTGCTTATGTCCTTCTGTGACAGATGAACAGATGCATTTTGCCCATATTTATAAATTTTTTTAATTCATTTATTTTTATGTATATGAGTGTATTGCCTGCATGTATGTAAATGCACCTGTATCATGCATACCTACAGAGGCCCTAAGAGGGCATCAGATCCCCTGGAACTGGAGTTATGGACAGTTGTTAGCAGACATGGGAATGCTGGGAACCAAACCTGGGAAGAGTACCCAGTGCTCTTACCCACTGAGTCATCTCTCCAGCCTCTGCCCATATTTATGGAAGGATACACAGGAATGATCTATAATACTGTAAAGTTACTAGCTATTGATTTGAGGGAGAGTATATAAGAGATGGGAACTGGGCCAAAGGGAGACCAAAAACAAAACTTTTTATATTTTAAAGAATATATATTGTGTATGTGTGTGTTGTGTGCGTGCACAAGTGTATGTATAGGAGTGTGTGTGTGATATGTGTCTGGTGCCTATGCCTGTGCCCTTGTGGAGACCAGAAGGGGATGCAGGATATCCTTCTCATAGTCTCTGTTTTGTTCAAGGCAGGGTCTCTTGCTGAACCTGGAGTTCATGTTTTTCAGCTAGGCTGGAAGTCAGCAAGCCTGGGCAAATTCTTCTGTCTCTGTCCCGCTCAGTGCTGGGGTTACAGGTATGTGCAGGACCATGCCCAGCTTCTATGTGGGTGCTGGGATGGGACCAAACTCATGTCCCCAGACTTGTGTAGCAAGTGCTCTTGACTGCTGAGTCATCTTTCCAGCTCCTACATAACATTTTTGAATAGTGTACTACCTATATAAAAGAATTTAAAATTTAAAGAAGTGAGTATACCACACAGCCCAGAAATTTCACTATATACTAATGGGGCTGGAGAGATGGCTTAGTGGTTAAGAGCACTTACTACTCTTGCAAAGGACCTAGGTTCGATTCCCAGCACCCACATGGCCGCTAACAACCATCTGTAATTCCAGTTCCAGGGGAATTTAACACCCTCTTCTGATTTCTGCAGGCACTGCACAACACAGGTGTACTTACATACATGTAGGCAATACACTCATATGCATAAAATAATAGATAAATTTAAAAAGATACATACTACTGCTGGGCACGGTGACTCACACCTTTAAATATTTTATTTATTATTTTTATTTTTTATGTGTACGAGTGTATTGCCTATTTGTGTGTAAGTGTACCTGTGTCGTGCAGTGCCTGCAGGTCAGAAGAGGGCATCAGATTCCGTGGAACTGGAGTTCTGGATGGCTGCTGGCTGCCATGTGGATGATAGGAATTAAACCTGAGTCCTCTGCAAGAGCAACTAATGTTCTTAACCGCTGAGCCATCTCTCTACCCCCTGGTGACTCACACCTTTAATCCCAGCACTCAGGAGGCAGATGCAGGCAGATCTATGAGACTGAGGCCAGCCTGGTTTACGTAGTAAATTCCAGGCCATAGGGAGACCATGTCTCAAATGTGCACCCCGCCTCCCCCTGCCAAAAGTACACTAACATTTTGCAGATGTAAGCAGAGACATACGGCACAAGCAGTCACTGCAAGAGTGTTTCTAGAAGTATGGCCAAAACAACCTGTCACTGGAGGCTGCTGGGTAAGTTTTGCAAAAGGGGAGTTTCCAAAGAAAAGGCAATGTCCTAAGCTGGATGGTGGTGCACCGGTATCTACTTTGTATCTTTTAATTTAAAATAATTTAAAATTATAAGCATGTGTTCAGTGACACATACAGTTGTGTAGAAGAGACTGGCTGGGCTCTTCCTGCTGATGTGTAGTGCTCTTTGAGACATACTGGTAAGTAAAGGGGTCAAGGTATAGTACAGAAGACAGAGCCTGACCTGGTGGCACAGGCTTGTAATTCCAGCCATTTGGAAGGGCAGGGCAGGGCAGGAGGATCGCGTGTTCAAGACCAAACTGCAGAACAAGTTCCCCAGCTTGGGCAACTTAGTGAGACCCTGTCTCAAAATAAAAACACAGAACAACCCTGTGCACCACCAGCCTGATTAGTGCATCTCTCAACTCTCTCCAAAGAAAGATTCTTGTAGCAGGTAGCAATTAACAGAGACCCACAATGGGCAGAGAATAAGAGACCAAGGAGTGCTCAGCCCTAAATGAGACATCTATCTTCACAGCCTCTATTCCCAAGGCTCAGGGATCACTGCAGGAGAGGGAATGAGCGATTTTTAAGAGTCAGAGGTAGTGAGTGAACACAAGGAAACTGTCTTCTGGACACAACAGGGCAGTTGCACATATGAACTCACAGTACTTGTGAACAGTATACACAAGACCTGCACAAGCCTATGCCAGACAAAATCCCAGCATGGAGGAGAGGGTATGCAAGAAGCCTCAGCCCCAGCTGAGGAACCACTGGATCTTTAAGGATGTGATGCCAGGTGGGTTGGCCAGGCTCTAAGGGATGGCCCCATACCCAAGAACATTTGAAGAACAAAAATTAGGCTCAATAGGCCTTTAAAAATACTAGACATTTTTTGAAATAATTAAAATATTACTAATTTAAAAAAAACATTTTTGAAACAAAATATTGCTAATTAAAAATTTTTTTTGAAACAAAATATTACTAATTTAAAAAACATCTTTTTTTGAAACAAAATATTACTAATTAAAAGAATTTTTTTTGAAACAATTAAAATATTAAAAAAGAAAGAAAGAAGTAATACTAGAGAGTGGTATGGTGGTGCACGCCTTTAATCCCAGCACTCAGGAGGCAGAGGCAGGTGGATGGATCTCTGTGAGTTCAAGGCCAACCTGGTCTACATAGTGAGTTCCAGGCCAGCTGGGGCTATAGGGAGACCCTGTCTCAAAAAAAAAAAAAAATCCCCCAGAACTAGAGGACATGAAGTTGTGGGGCTGGGCTGGGGGCAGCATGGCGGGGTGGAAATGGGGAAGAGAGGCTGGATATGATCAAAATACACTGTATGAAATTGTCAAAGAATCAATAAAAATATTAAAACAAAATAAAAGAAACAAAAAACCCAGATGGTATATGTTCATTTTTGTTTAAAAAAGGGAAAGTATGGGCTGGAGAGTTGGTTCAGTGGTTAAGAGCACTGGCTGCTCTTGGAGAAGACCCAGATTCAATTCCCAACAACCACATGGCAGCTAACAACTGTCTGTAACTCCAGTTCCAGGGAATCCAACCCCTTCTTCTGACCTCCGAGGGCATTGCATGACACAGGTGCACTTAAATACACACAGGCAATACACTCATATACATAAAATAAAAATAATAAAGTATTAAAAAAGAGAGAGATTTCTAGAAGGACTTAAGGTAATAGCGTACAACTCTGGGGAGAGAAACTAAAATCTGGGCTAGAAGTAAGAGTTTTCACTGTATACTTTTCAAGCTATTTGAATGATTTTGTATGGGTATATGTACTCTTTCAGAAATTAAAGTGAGCTAATCAAATTTAAAGGCTCACTCTCATTGGAATAGTGACTGTGTTCTCACATAGCTAACCTAATGTCTTCTAAGAGGCTGTCAGACAACTCACTCCTCCCATCATTCAGTTAATGCACATTATTTCTTTCCTTGGGGTTACAGACCACCCACACCCAGTGATACACAGCTGTAGCTAGGACTAAGACACTCACTTGGGCTCATGAGGAGGTCCAGACTGGTCAATCAACTTGAACTCAGCAGCAAAGCCATGGGAGCGGGCATACTCTAACAGGCCGCCCACGGGGTTGGTGTTCAGGTACCTGACGAGCTCGCCAATCCTCCTGATCTTGTTAGGCACCACAGACTCCAAGTTATCAAGTGATTCTGAGTTCACACCTTCAGACTAAGGAAGAATTAGCCAAAGAGGAACCATCAACAGGTCAGAAAACTCCAAGGGACTCATGGACAACTCTCATCTGCACAAGTTGTTACTTTTGAGCAGGACAGCACCTCACCTGGTTGTCAGTTGAGTTGGCTGCCTCTTCATGCAAGGCCTTCATGGCTTCCTCTGCGGCCATCTGCTTTGCCACTTTCTTACTGGGGGCACTCACAGTGGGGAAGGTCTGGGCTCCCACTGCTACACAGTACTGGAACCTGAGGGGAAAGGATCACAATGACTGGGCTGAGGAGATCTGCTCACCTTCGTCAGAATGCCAATCTTCACTTCTTATAATTTCTACTCATCATCACCTCTGTGCAGCTACTCTGGCCTTGAATAGCCAGTGCTCCCCACCCATCTCCTGTCATGTGTCTCCTGAGCTAACTAACCACCCAACATGCAAGGATCAGTCAAATCTCATGCCCTGCAGGAAGCATTCTCTTGAACGAGTAGGTGTACAGACCCCCAGACAGTTAGCTGCTAAGGGCCCAGGTCTCAACCTTGTCCCACTGTAACCACCATGCTGAGATCCTACCCAGTTTTCAGTCCCTTCACACTCCTAATCCTCGATTTTCTATTTCACAGCAGCAGCCAGACCCTGAAGGCCCCTTTCCAGACTGCAACAGGAGAACCGTACAGAGAAACAACCTCTTGTCTCTGAGGGTGCAGAGGGAAAATGTGTCCCTCCTACTTTTGGGGGAAAGTTCCATGGGGAAGGCCATGTAGAAGACATACTTGGGGTCATGGGCAGGGCCTTCCTTGGATAGGAGACGGAATTCACAGGAGTTCCCTAGTTTGTGCATACACTCAAGCAACGTGGTAACAGGGCTCTTCCCAGAAAATAGGGATGTTGATGAGGAGGTGAGGGGCTGGACCTCTGCTGGCTGGAAAAAGACAAGAAAACATGAAGCAAAATGAAGCAAAATAGCAGAGGTGATGGGGATGGGAGAATTTATTCCTCCAATCAATCTCTCGCTAGCTCTCCTCTCTCTCTCTCTCTCTCTCTCTCTCTCTCTCTCTCTCTCTCTCCTCACTCTCCCCCCCCCCCCCCCCCCCCCCCCCCCCCCCCCCCCCCCCCCCCAGCAAGGTCTCCTCCTATAGGCTGGTCTTGACCTTGAGGCAGTCCTCCTGCCTCAGCCTCCCAAATGCTGCAATTACATGCAAGGAGTCACCATGCCCAACTAAGAATTTGTTTCAGACAACTAAATGTTAGGAGTGACCTTCCAAGGGAAGGGGCTGCTGGGGACTCCCTAGGAGACAGGAAAAGGTGAGTTTTCTTCTGAGAGAGAAGAGGGCTCATGGACTGTGAAGGTTAGGTGTTTTTATGTATGAGTATTTTGCCTGCACATATGTAAGCGTACCATATATATGCAACACTCTCAGAAGGCAGAAGGTATCCTCTGCAAGAGCAGCCAATGCTCTTAACTTCTGAGCCACTGTTCTAGCTTTAATGTCAACTTGACACAACCTAGAATCACAGGGGAAGAGAGCCTCAGTGAGGACTATCTATATCAGGCTGGCTTATAGGGGTTGTCTTGATTGCTTTACTTGATGTCAGAAGATCCACCCTAAATGTGGGTAGCACCTTCTGGTGGCCCAGATAATAGGACATGGAAGGAGGACAGTGTTTTGTCATTTTTGCTTGCTTGGCCTTCACCTATTGCTGTGCTGTCCTTTCCTAATACCAGAGCCAGCTGCTCTCGGCTGAAGCCTGGAAGCCCTGAAGGAATAATTCAGGTTTTTGTGCCCAATTAGGACTGCTGAGACACCCAGCCTCGTGAACTGAGCAACTACTGGTTTCTCTCTTGGCCTCTCAAGTGTGCAGCCATTGTTAAACTGCTCTAACTATATCATGTAGGCCAATCTAACAAATCCCCTTTTGATTTGTTAGATGTAGTTGTTCTATTGGTTTAATACATGGTCCTTCCAACTCTGACATTCTTTGACTCCAGTCAGACAGGAGTGGCAGAAGAGCTGGCTGTAAGAGGAGGGAGGTGGGCTAACGAAGTGGGAGGTGAAAGGAGGTGGGACACTGCCTTAGAATGTCAGCTGCTTAGGCCAGGCCTGCTTCCTGAGACCAGTTTGAATCCTGACACTCCACATACACTGACAGCCAAGTATTGTCTTTCCCAGGGTAGGACACCCACCTTCTCTGGGTCTTCATCCATGGGACACAAGGATAACTCTTCTGGATTCCCGCTGTCCTTGGCTTTGGCTTCCCGGAGCAGGATTGTCATAGCTCTCACCGCTGCGTCCTGCTTGGCCACTTTCTTGCTGCCTGCTTCAGCTGCGGGAAACTCTCGGCCACTGATGACAACCTGGAATTTAAATCTTGGTGGAGAGTGGTTAGACATGTGAACACCAGACGGGGCTATCCCTCTGCTCTTTCCAAAGCGGTCTCTACCCTAGAATGATCTGCCATACTGAGAGTCTGACTTGAGAAGATGGAGGGTAGATGTAGGATTCCTGACCCCTATAGCTTAGCCACTGCCAGGTGAGCACCCAACATTATTCCTTTGTCAGCCTTTTTAAAAAAATTAGGGCTGGAGAGTTGGCTCAGCAGTTAAGAGCACTGACTGCTCTTACAGAGGACCCGGGTTTGATTCCCAGCACCCACATGGCGGCTACGAACCATCTTTAACTCCGGTTCCAGGGGAATCTGATTCCCTCTCCTGACCTCCACGGCACTGCACAACACTGGTGCACTCATACATGTAGGCAATACACTCATACACATAAAAATAATAATAGAATATTTTAAAAAATTTTTGTGTGTGTGTTTGTGTGTAGGTCTGAGGACAACTTGTGGGAATCTGTTTTTAACTTATACCATGTGGGTTTGCAGGACAGAACACAGGTCAGGCTTGGTGGCAAGTGCCTTTACCTCCTGAACCATCTTGCTGGCCCAACTGGGTTTTTTTTGGCTTTTGTTTTGTTTTGGTTTTTTGAGATATGGTCTCTCTGTAGCCCAAGTTAGCCTGGAACTTGCTATGTAGACTAGGCTGGTCTTGAACTAGGTATCCTTCTGCCTCTGCCTTCTAAGTGCTGGGGTAACAGGCGTGTTGGCTTCCCACCATTTTTTAGCAATTAAAAAAGATAAAAGTGTATAAAAGAGATGGGTGGGCAACAGTTGTTAACAGCCCCAAGAACCTTACCCTAAAACAACTGTGTGGATTTGGCTTCCTCCAGGGAGATCCTAGAGGACACAGAAGGAATGGTACAGCAGACATTTGCCCTGGAGCAGGACGTGCTAGGCAGGGTGAAGGGTAAAAGGGGATATGGGTATGAGAGCTGGAGGGGTGGATAAGGGAAGGGTGGGGAGCTGCCTCTGAAGTGTCTGCTATTTAGGCAGGGATGGTTCATCCCTAGGTTACTGTAGTGATTCTCCACTCTTAGCTTGCTCTGAGTACAGCTACAGCACTTTGTCCCAGGTCCCAGATGAAAGAAATTCCCTTCTTATGCAAAAAACCAAAATGCTTTGTCCTAGACCTCTGGCCTCAGCTTCAGTCTCCTTTGCTCAAGCTTTTAAACACATTAAGCTCTTTACTCAAGCTGGATCTATTTCACTTAGAAAAAGAGGTCAAATCTCTACTTCCTGGCTTTCTGAAACACTTGAATACAGCATCCATGGTTTTCTTTTTTCTTTTCTGAGGCACAGTCGTACTCCACTGTACCCAGGCTGGCCTGGTACTCTCAGTCCTCCTGCTTCAGTTCCCGAAGCTGGGATTACAGGCGTGTGCCACCATAGCTGGTGGCATCAATATTTCTTATAACTGAAGTCCAAAGAATGACTAACAGCAAAACCCACAGCTTCCCTCCAACTCTGGAGAGAGGGAAATGGTGGGAAAATACCAGACCCAACCCCAAACAGAAACAAATGGGTCCTGGTCCTGCCTGTTTGAGGCTAGATGTGTCCTCTTTGCTTAACAGCTCCCCTGCAATGCCAACCTGGTGCTACTAGAAAGTTAAAGGACTAGGTCACAGCTGGGAATCCTCACTTCTAGAAACCAGCCTGGGTAAGTGCAATCATGTGTTACCTAACCATGTTTTTGGTCAGATGAAAGAAATTCCCTGAAATTTCTGAGGAAAGAAATGTTTTTGACATTTGAGCCGACCATGGACCACACAGACCACAGCTGTCCCATAAGACTACATTGCTGTGGGCCTACAAGATGGCTCAGTGGGTAAAACCTGAGCTCAATCCCTGGAACCCAAAGTGGAAGAGAAACTGACTCATGAACCCCCTTCCCTGCTCTGCACATGAGTACAGTGGCATCTGCTTGCTCCTGCCTTGACACCCATTTTTTTTTAGATTCTACTGCCTAGTTGGTGATGCAGTCATTTTCACTGCTAAGGGTACTCTGGACTGTTCACACAATGATGAATTCCCCCAACAGTACACTGCTCAGGCAGTGGCCCTGTCATTATGTGCTGTGTGGCTATATAAAAGCTGGAGGCATTCTGGCAGTCCTCACTGGTTCTCCATAGCTACAGCTTGTACCACTCAGCCTCGGTGCTTCTAGGTTCCCGCCAGGCCCTTCAGTAGCTCCTTCCTGGCCAATCTATCCTCCTCAGTCTGTCTCCTGGCCTGTGGAATCCTACAGTGCAAAGCCCGGCCAGCAGCCCCAGTGAGGGAGCCTGAGTTCTTGGCTTGGGGGCAGCAGCAAGTGCAACCCACCTATCTGTGAAGAGGTGGCGTGTAAAATTAGAACTACAACCTTCAATAAAGCGGGCAGGCAGGCTGGGGTGGGGAGGGTGCCTAAGGCTGCCTAGCAAGCCACTCTTATTCTGCATGCTCTGCCTGCCCCAGCCCACCTGTTACTTGGCCCTCCCTGGAGTTCAGCTTATTGAGGGTGGATTAGGAAGTCTGCTTTAGGGGTAGTATGGATGCATGGGAGCTAATCATCTCTAAAGAAGCTTCACTTCAGCTGACAGTCAGCCTCCCCCTTGACCAGAGAGGATTCTGGGCACCCTGAGGTCTATCAACCTGATAGAGCAATCCAGGATGGTTTAGCCAAAAGGAGGAAGGAAGAAAGTAAAGAGAGGAGCCACCAAGGACACTGCTCACAAGGGAGTGGAGACTGTGCAGGAGCCAGAGCACCTGACCCCAATGCTAGGCACAATTCCTGGGTGGTCTCTTACCGAGGTTCATGGGGCGGTCCACTCTGCTCTACCAGCTTGAACTCACAGGTCTGACTAGTGAACTGAGCATACTCTAACAGCCCGCTGACGGGGTTCTTCAGCTGGCACTCGGTCAGTTTCTTGTAGGGTGAGCACCGTGGCAAGCCAGGGCTGTAGAAGGAGGGCATCTCCATGATGGCTCGAAACTCACCTGGTGCTGTGTGGATACTGTTCAAGCTATCTGGGATGTCATCTGTGGCCCACTGGCCATTTTCAAAGTCAACATACCCTGCTCTGGAAGGGCCACTGTGATAAACATGTGGCCGCAGTCTCATTGGTCCTGGCCTGGTCTCTTGTCTATTTTCTAACTTTACCACAGGTTCCTGCCCATTCTCCACTTTTGGGGGGGCTGCAATGCTGCTTGAGGCACCTGACAGGGGTGAGTGGCAGGTGGGAAATGAGACGCTTCTTGTGGCCTCAGGGATGGCTGCCAGAGTGGCTGCAGGGCCGCTGAGGGTACTTCTCTTGATCTGCAGCCTCTCTCGCTTCTTGTCTGTTAGGTACCAGATGGGAGGGGTTGCCCCTTGCCTGCAGACATCCCCCTGCCGTTCCAAGTCAATCAGCACTGCATGGACATCACGGGCCTTGGAGAGGCCAATGTTCTTAGCAAGGTTCAGGGCAGAGGAGTTAGACACATTGAACAGGTAGTCACAGATTTTCTCTTTGATCTCAGCCATGTCCAGAGGCTCAGGGGGCTCTTCTAAGTCAGATGTGGGGTCTCTGCTTTCACTTTCCAGACCAGGCTCTGCGTGTGGGATTTCCTGACTACAGCTGTCTACACTCTCAACTCTGGGTGGCTCAGGTAAGGCCTGACCTAAGGGTGAGAGGCTCCACAAAGGGGGTGTTCCTGACCCTTTACGCAGCTTTCCCTTCTTTTCTAGGGAGTACAAAACACGATTGATGTCCTTCTTTGGGACCCTGAGCTCTGTGGCCAGTACCTGGGCTGTGGTGGCCTTCCCCTCACCCAGTGCCACCAGGAGGCCAAGGATCTTTTGCTCCTGGTTCTGACTGATGCTCAGTTCCCTGAAGTGTGAGCAAAGCCTGTCAGCACCTCTCCATGGCAGTCCCTTGCCATGTGGGGGAAGAAGCGGGAGCCCTATCTGGAGCCCCTGACTTCTGAGAGGCACGCTCCTGGGGATACCCCAGAGTTCCAGTTGCCTGCCTTGGGCAGGTGGTCCCGAGAACCTTGGGCAGAATTCTGGGAAGAATGGTGGCAGGGACTGGCTCTGCTTTCCAATCAGGGGTGCTTCTGGGAGCAGCCCCTTGAGAAAGTCTATTTGCTGCAGCTGGAAATTATTAGGGTAAGATCCTGGCCCGTAAGGCTGCGGCTGTCTTGGCTTGCTGTGCTCATAGCTGTGGTCCAGGCTGGGCTGTGTTTGGTGCAGGAACACTCCTGCAGAAGACGGAGGAGAAAATATAAGTTAGGGCAGCGTGTGAGCAGGGGTGCTTCTGGGAGCAGCCCCTTGAGAAAGTCTATTTGCTGCAGCTGGAAATTATTAGGGTAAGATCCTGGCCCGTAAGGCTGCGGCTGTCTTGGCTTGCTGTGCTCATAGCTGTGGTCCAGGCTGGGCTGTGTTTGGTGCAGGAACACTCCTGCAGAAGACGGAGGAGAAAATATAAGTTAGGGCAGCGTGTGAGCCTCTCACCCCTCCAATCTTTGCCTGGGGGAGCTGTTCCTGATTGCTAAAAGGCTGGGCAGGTGACTGAGCTATGGGCCTGTGTCCTAGCTAGAAGGGCTTGGTCGGCTACTGACTACTGTCTAAGAGCCCATCAGGGAGACACAGAAAGGGAGCAGGAGGCCGGGCACCCCAGTCCAGGTGCCTCAGTGCAGCTGCTCTGGTGACTTAACTCCTCCACCACAACAGGATTTTAGGGGGGTAAGAAATTAAAAAACAAACAAGCAAGCAAAAATACTTCTACTCACCCCTAAAAATATCCTTCTAAAATTAGAAAAACAGGACCAGCAAGATGGCTCATCAGGTAAGGGCAACTGTCACTGGGCCTGATGACCTGAGTTTGTCTCTGTGACCTACACAGTCACAGAGAGAGGAGAGAACTGACTTCTACATTGACCTCTGATCCCCACATGTGCCATGGTACCTTACACTGCCAACCCCCAAGTAAATAAATAAATGTAAAGTTAGAAAAACAAGTGAATGGTATTTTAAAACCAACAAACCAACCCACTTACAGAACCCTGAAAGTGGGAAGGGAAAGGGGGGTTGGGGCTGAAGTGAACGAGATCACCCCTCTGGTGAGTCAGGGTCCCCACCTCATATATGGCCTTTAGGTCTCTAAAAAGGTGTCATGTGGGCAACCTTGACCAAAAGGGAAATGTAAGATGACTAGATGAAACTAAAGTCCCATCCCATCCTCCTCTCTAGCTGAAGGATTAAGAGCCATCTCATGTGGTGAAAGGTCCTCAGAGATTCACCTGCTAGCTACTACCTACCCAGGAGGGTCAGAATTTGGTTTTAAGGGAGCTAGAGAGCTTCCATCTAGAAATGGTGTGTTTTCTTCCCTTTTCAGTGTGGCACCCAGGCTTGGAGAGACACCTTGCACTTTCCCCCAAATACCCAGGCTCAGCTAGATGTGAAGGCTAGCAGGATCTACTTCTCATACCTCCACTGGTTCTCCTACCTTCCCCAGCTACTGACAATAGTGGCCTCTGGATAGCCTCCGGCAATAGGGGCCTCCGGACTCCTTCCCATGTTCCCCCTTGGTCAAGTGCTCCCCCCCCCCCCCAGTGTTGTTCACTCTGGACCAGTGGTCATGGGATGAGGGTAGGACTTTGCTTCCTTTCCCTAGGGTTTGCAGATGTGGGAGAACATGCAAAAAAAACCAAATTTTTTTTTAAATGTATTTACAAGCCCTCCTTGGATTCTCCCGAAGGCTACAGGGGAGCTGTACCACAGCCTTTATTCTCCACCCTGTCATCTTGAGGATCTTAGCATCCCAATCACTATTGTGGTACCTGACTGTGGAGCTCCTTACCTCCTAAACGAGTGACCTCCATCTTCATCCTCCAGCCACATGATGGCTTCGTCGAGCTACCCACCCCAACGTCACTATTCTATAACTGAACTTACCACTAAGTCCTTGAAACTCTTCATAGCAATCCTGCCTCAGCCTCCTAAGGCCTGGGATAAGGGACTGGGATACAGGCATAAGCCACTAGCTGTGGCAGAACTTATTAGCAATCTACCATGAGCTAAGGGTGTGTAGCTCAGTGACAGAGCTCTTGTGTCACATGTATAACACCTGGCTTCCATTCCCAGTACCACACAAAAAAGAAAGGAAGGAAGGAAAGAAAGAAGGAGGAGAGGGAGGGACAATTTATTTAGAACCATGAGACTTTACAGGAACAGGTGGCGGGCTGGCCTGTGGCTGTGGCTTGCTGACTTGTTGGCTCTTTTCTGATGGAAGCTTCCCTGGGTTTCTACAACATCTAACTCTGCTGGAACTTGTTCCTCACATGACTCCACTGTGACTGTCACTCAGCTACTCACGCACTTCCTCCAGGCCTGGATCTCATGGTCCGGTACGCCTCCACCAGGGCCCACATACATTCTTTCCCTCGCCTCAAGTGAGCTCTCACTGTTTGGTGAAGTCAATTCAATAAGGATTACCTGGCTGCAGACTGGCTCTCTCTGAACAATGCTACCCCGCCCCTCCCCCAGGGATTGGTGACACAGCATCAGTCTCCGATCCTTTGTAGGCCTGTTGCTTTCTCCCAGCCCTGCACATAACTGGTTCCCAGGGTTTTACTAAGGACTTCATCCTTTATGTTTGGTTCACACCATATGTTTTGCCCACTCTGCAGACCTAACCTCACTGTTTCTTTTGGTAGTTTTTTGAGATAAGGTCCCATGTAGCCCAGGCGGGCCTAGAATACACTATGTAGCTAAGGGTGACCTTGAACCTTTGATCCTGTCTCTACCTTCCAAGTGTTGTAGGGATTATAGGCATACACCAACTATGACAAGTGCCACAGCTCAAATCTACTGTCTCTAGCTACGACTTTGTGCAAAAGCTGAAGGCCAACTCCCTGGGCACTTCTCCATCCCTGTATCCTGCCAGTCTCTCAAATGCCATATATTCTGAATTAATCACTTTCTTCAAAAACATTTTCTCTTGCTCTGTTGTCATTACTATTAGGGTCTTCAGTCACTCCTAGGTTATCAAAACTGACCCATCCCTACCCCCACCTAATCAGGTAATTGTCAAATCCTGTCTTGCCTACTACTTCTGAGTGGTCCGGAAACAGTTTCAGCCCCTCATCAGCTCTTACTTGGGCCACTGCAGGAGTCTCTAATCACCGCCCTTCTACGCACCAAGCCAAAGGGCAACTCTACTGTCACAGCTCAGACTCTTTCCTTATAAATGATCTCAAATGCCACTTTCTTCAGATTTCTGACTCCCCCCGAATGTGGGGAAGGGCTTTTAAAAATACACAACATTCAGGGCTGGGGAGATGACTCAGTGGGTAAAAGCACTTGCTGCATAAGCATGAGGACCTGAGTTCAAATCCCCAGAACCTATGTAAAAGTCTGGTGTGTAGCCCCAAATCCCAGTGTTCCTATAGGGAGACAGGAGGCCAAGGAGAATCCCTGAAAGCTGGGGGTCGGCTAGGGAGAAAACAACAAAAGAGACTCTGCCTCAAACAAGGTGGGAGGTGAGGACCCCACACCAGACGCTATCCTTTGACCACCACATAGGAGCAAGTGCACACAAAATTAAAAGTACACACACACACACACACACACACACACACACACACAAATAGGTTTTGGGATATAGCTTGGTGGTAGCTTGCCTGGCATGCGTTAATTCCCTTGGTTCATTCCAAATAGCTTTTTTTTGTCTTTTTGAGACAGGGTCTCCCTTGTAGGCCCAGCTGGCCTAGAACTTGCTTTGTAGACCAGGCTGGCCTTGAACTCACAGAGATCCTCCTGCCTTTGCCTTCCAAATGCTGGGACTAAAGGCATGCACCACAACACCTGGCTCCAAGTAGCTTTTTAAAAGTTGAGGTACAGGGCCTGGAGAGATGACCCAGCAGGTAAGAGCACTGGCTGCTTTTGCAAGAGGATAAGAGGTTTGATTCTCAGCACCCACATGGCAGCTAACAACCATCTTTAACTTCAGTTCCAGGGGATCCAATGGCCTCTTCTGACTTCCATGGGCATTGCATAACATGAGTGTACTTACATACATGCAAGCATAAAACTCATACACTTAAAATAAAAATTTCAAAAAAAAGTTGAGGTATGGGCCTGTAGTTCCACCACTGGGGAGGTAAAGGCCAGTGGAGCACAAGTTCAAGGATAGCTAGGGCTACATATAGAAATTCTGTCTCACACAAAGAGAGATTGGGGGGAGGGGGGGGGAGAGAGAGAGAGAGAGAGAGAGAGAGAGAAATATATAGAGACCATTTCTACTTCCCTCAAGGTTTTCTCCTGTGCCTCTGCCCTCAACTTCACAGCCAGTCCCAGTGACCACGTATCTATTTTTCTCCCCGTTGCTTCGCTTTTCCAGAACATCGTATTCAGATCCACATACAGTTTGAAGCCTTAGGATCTGGATTCTTCAGTTCAGAACACTGCACTCGGGACTCATCTCTGTTGGTGCAAGATTCCTAACTAAGCTATGCAGTATTCCACTGCAGTGTACATATTAACCTGTGGGAGGATATCTGTTTTTTTCAGTTTGGGGCTGTAATGAACAAAACTGTTAAGGTTTCCTCCTACAGGTTATTGAACGCTATTCTTAATGTCCCAGCAAGTGGAAAAAGTGCAGAGGAAGGCCACTTAAAGTAATGAAAAGAGTTCAATAAGGCTAAAGTGGGGTCGGTGAGGCACCAAGGGGCCCTAGTAGAAAGGGAGGGGGGTGTATGCCTTGACCTGGGTACATCTCCCCAAACCTCAACGCTGGGACCGCTCAGCCGCATAACAACCTGCTGCAAATTCCCAGAAGAGCAGTCCTACTCAGGAGAGGAGCGCAAGGCTAGCGAAGTCATGCCCCACAAACCTACAGCGGGGCTTACCTGCGGGTCCCCTGCGCCCCCGAGACATCGCTCTGGCCGCCCAGCCTCCCGCAAGATGGCTCCCACTCAATTTCGCTTTCGTTTCCTCGGAAAGACTTCCCTTCCGCCGGCAGACTGTAGAGCCAAGAGGAGGGGTTTGGGCTGAACACCGCCACCCCTCCTGCCCGACTCCGCCCACGCTCCGCAGCAACAGCCAAGGCCAGGCGTGGGAAGTGCAGGCTCGGGTCTTCCCAGGCTACCGGCCCCCGGTGTCGATCACAAACCAAGCGAAGGGGCTGCCAGAGGTAAAACCCAGCAGTACATACCAGCAGGCAGAACCGGTCTCCCCGGCCAGGGGCGTCAGTAGTGTGCGCACCCGCCAAGGCGACCTTCTGTCCCCACCACAGGTGCAGCAAAGCAAGCCCCGAGAAACCTCGGGCCCTGCGCAAGGCTCGTGTCCCTTGCTACTCTGCCTCCGCTCCCGTTGCACTATTAATTTTGTTATCTGGGAGGCGCAGTTTATTTCATCGCCAAGGTAATTTTTGTTCAAAATATCTAGGACCGATTTCAAACTCTTTCTGGTGATCAGCAGCGCCCCCTCGGCCCCTGTGAGGAAGTTCCTTTTCTGGGTTTAACCTTTATCCTGGCAGCTTCTGAGATTTACAGGGCAGTCTCTTCCTAGAGATGCTCTGTCATCTCTTCCAGCTGATGCCCTGTCACCACTAGCCTGTCCTTCATCCATCTATTAGCCGCTCCAAATTTCATCCCCTCTTGTGTAGGGTGTTCTTCCTTCCTGATCTTTGCACATCCTTGGAATGTTCCTACCCGCCCCCCCATTCTGTAGCCCAGGCTGGCCTCAACTTCTTCACAATCCTCCTTCCGTAGCCTCCCGTGTGCTGGGATTACAGGTGTGCACCATTAGCTTGGCTCTCGCATGCACTTTTACCACTACTTCCGGTAAAGCAGTTTTCCAAATCTGCTTCACAAACTGCATCCCAGGGATCCCTTCCCCCAACTCGAGGTAGTGACATGCAGTGAGGAACCAGGGCAATTTGCATTCCTGATTCTCTGTCTCAGGTACCCAGAACTTACAGCTGACTAAAGACTTTTACATTCCTCTGAAACCATCCCATCCATCTAATGTGTGTCTAATGTGTGTCCATGCCCAGCACCCAGGATGTGGTGCACAGTGGAAGCACATGTGTGTAGATAAGCACTTAATACCTGCTGGCTGGTATACCTGCCTTCAGTGCTGCCCAGGGTTCTCAGTGGATAGGGGTGCTATATCCCTATTCTCTCCTGCACACTGACCCTTGGAGGGTTGAAAGGTGAATTAACAGTGCAATCAAATAAGTAAAACAATATGCAAAACAGGAACGTCACAGGAGGAAACAGAACAACAATGAACTCATAAAAAGGTGCTCAATTTCATTACCAGGGAAGCCTCAGTAGAGATGGCCTCAGTGATCACTGGCCACTCACCAGATAGGTGGTACTACTGTGGGCGCAAGGGCACAAAGCAGCCCTGGTCACTGCAGGAAGCCACTGTGCCACTGCCTAGGAGAACAGAGCCCACAATTCAATCATTCCACGTGTACAGGACAACCTCCAGATGCTGGGAGCAGCCCAAGCGCCTTCAAAACTAAAATAAGAACACAGGGGCATACACTAATGTTAGAATTTATACAGCAATAAAAGTAAAAGATCTATAACCACATGCAGCAGGTGGATAATCATGCAATAATACTGAGAAGCCTTGTACATAATATATATGGTTCAACTTAAAGTCCACAACCAGGCAAAACTGAACTGTAAGCCACGTACTGCATGAAAAACAGGTTCACCTCCAACAGGGAAGAAGGGTGTTTTGATTGGGAAGGAATATTCCAGGTGCTAGTGATAGTCCAGTTTTTTACTTCGGTAGTGGCTATGTATGTTTGCTTAATTAAGTTATACACTGATGTTTTATTCATGTTTGCACACATATATATACATATATGCTATATTTCACAACCTTAAAAAACAACACAACGAACAAGAAAGGCGCAAACACTTTCTGCTGCAGTTCTAGCCCACTTCCCCATGTTCTTTTCTCGATTTAAATAACCGGAGTTGTGTCTGTCTCACCTCTGCTTTCTTGCCTTCCAGGTAAATCATCAAGAATGTTCCAGAAGAGCTTTCATTACAGCTACCCTGCAGACAGTTGTAACCCCCCCAACCCTTTGAATCAAACACTGGAAGGGGTGCCAGAGTAGGTAGGAGAAATCTCTATTCTACAGAGGATCTGTTTATGCCCTGAAAGAACTGCTTTTGTCATTTAATCTTAGCAGCTCAAGTAACCATGGATGGTGTTATTCATAAACCGCTGTCTCCTCCTCCCTGGTGATTGTTTTAACTCTCCCAGGGTCATGAGGTGGTGATAGATGTCTTTGTGCCCTTCTATTACAGGGACTTGGTCAGCTGAACAAGGCTCTTTAACAAAAATGAACCAAAAGTAATTTCTGTTTATTGTAGAAATTTCCAGAAAACACAAACAAGCACACACAATGAAAGCTACCTTTCTGCCTCCACTGTCAATTCCTTGGCACTTAGGCCCAGGGAGCAGTCAGGTGGCTGTCCTATAACAAACAGTCCAGCTCTCTGGGAGCTGGGGCTACCTCTTGGGTTGTAGGGTGACCCTAAATGCAGCCCCCCCACCCCCCATACACTTACCCAAATGATTCAGAGTTGCATCTAAAATAAGGTATCATAAAAAGCCATTGCTGAGGCCCTCACTTAGCACTGGTGGGAGCTGGGCCTCTAAGTGCCAGGCTCCAGCTCCGTGTATGCCTTCAGGGGGTTGCTGCTAGGTTAGCTTCTGAGTCCTGCTAGCCTTGCTTCTGACTATAAATACTGCTGGACTGGACTTACGATAATTAACTCGGTTTGCTGGGCATTTTGTGGAAGAATGCAGCTGTTTTTGAGTGTAATTTCCTGTATAGAGACTTCAGTAGACATACGGTTACCTCTCTACAGTGTCTGCACTCACCTTCAGTGCTGGCTCCTGTAGGGACAGTGCCTCTGGATGTGTGCTGCTTAGACAATGGGTAGTGTTATCAAGAAAGCACTGAGCTGTTAATAGCAGGGGGTTATTATTTTTTAAAGACTTATTTGTGTGTGTGTGTGTGTGTGTGTGTGTGTGTGTGTGTGTGTGGCCAGAGGCATCAAATCCCCTGGAGCTGGAGTTACAGGGGTTGTTAGTCACCTGACATGGTACTGGGAACCAAACCTCTGCAAGAATGCTAGTTGATGTTACTGCTGAGCCATTTCTCCAGGCCCAAGGGCATTGAAGAGGATCTGTATACAAAAGCATTATGTTCTTAGCTTCACTTTTTTCAGTGCTAGGGGCTGAACACAAGGGCCTTGCCTGTGCTAGGGCAAGTGCTCTACCAGTGAGCCACATCCCCACCCCTTATCCTAGCTTCACTCTCTTTCTTTCCCTCCTCCCTCCTTCTCCTTCCACCCATCTCTTTTTTTTTCTTTTTTTTCTTTTTCGGTCTTTTTGAGACAGGGTCTCCCTGTAGCCCCAGCTGTCCTGGAACTCACTATGTAGACCAGGCTGGCCTTGAACTCACTGAGATCCGCCTGCCTCTGCCTCCCAAGTGCTGGGATTAAAGGCGTGCGCCACCACGCCTGGCCACCCATCTCTTTTTAATATAGGGTCTTGTAGCATAGCCCTGGTTGTCAGGGAACTTGCTATGCAGCCCAAGCTAACTTTCAACTCCTGCCTTAGCCTTCTGAGTGCTGGGGTGTGGGTGTGCACCACCATGCCCAGCCCTCTTCCATCCTTTATCATTGGGCTTTTCAGTCCATTGAATCAGCTACTAGCCCAGTAACATTAAGTTTTCAAAACTCACAGGGCCTTCCCATAGCAATCTCTCACTTCCATCTTTCAGGAGATGGAAGAGTGTGTTGTCCACTGTCCAAGTGGTGCTCTGAAGAGGCACTGATGCTGAGGTATTCTAGGCATGTCAGTGGCCAGACCAGTATTTTGTTCTATTTTGGTTTATTTTTGTTGTTTTTTGAGACATGGTCTTATATAGCCCAGGGTCACCTTGAATTCAATATACAGCTGAGGCTAACCTTGAACTCCTGATCTTCTTACCTCTGCCTTCCAAGGAAAGTCTGGGATTACAGATGTGTGCTACCCAACCTAACTTCTGGTTTTTGAAATTACAAGAAAGCAAGAATTACTTCAGGTACTTGCTTCAAAGCAGAAGTCTCCAGAAGGGGCATGCCCTCACTACTGAGTCAAAGTTCTCCAGGGAATGAAAGGGGAAAAATGGTATTTCCCAACGATGTGTATGTGCCACGTACTATTGGTAGTTATCACAAAATAAAGCTATAACATTAATAAAAATGTCAAAGCAATTGTAAAATAATGGCTCAGTCCTGTGAACAATCTGTATGCATGTCTAACAGTTTATTGCACATTTAGCTTCATGATTGACTGGCTTAAAGTGACTCTATACACCCTGTGGCTTTATGCATTAAATCCTGTCCAGCATTCAAACTGCCTGTCCTATGCTCACTCAGTCCTGTGTGCAGTTGCTGGGGTGGCTCTGGCCAGTAGAGAAACTCAGCTACTGGCCCACATTTGGGTTCCACCCATGGCAAGGATCTCATCCACTCTCCTTTCCCATCTCTTCTTCCCTGGCCCCAGCCTGTGAAGGGCTCGGCTCAGCCCCAGTTCTTAGAAGGGCAATGGCCCCACCTTCAGCTTGTAGGAAACAGAGGAGACAAGTTTTGTGTCACATGGCAATGGCCCTGAGCACTTCAGTGTTTGCTGGGGTAGCAGGTGGGTTTTACTAACAGCCAATCTGCAGAGAGCCAATTTGCCAGATGGCCAATTCACTGGATAGCCAATTTACAAAATGACCAATACACTGAATTTATTCTTTTCTCTCTGGCCTTAATTGACCAGTTTTTATTTCATCTTCATAATAGAATTTAAAGGCAATGTGTGCTGTTGTCCTGGAGCAGAGACTAGGAAGGAAACCACAAAGGAGAGGGGCCAGCGCAAGGAATTCCCTAGAACTTTCATGTACAGCCATTTCTAGCTGTCTACAGTTTTTTTTGCAAAGAGAATTGTAACCTTCATTATTTCCAACTCGCTTCTTTTTCTTACCCGCTCTCTCCCTTCCTTCCCCCTTTCCTTTTGAAATTAGGTTCCACCATGTAGCTCAGGCTGACTGCAAAGTCTCAGCCTAAATGCTGGGACTGTAGGTGTGTTTCACCATGCCAGGCTTTCTGGCTTGTCATTAAAAGTCACTCTTTCACTATTGACAAGTTCACAAATATCTCCACTTGCATGCAAAGGAGAAGGTCCTGTCATGTGAGAAAGTGATTTGAGCTGCTGGCCTTAAAGACTAAGTGATGCAGCTCCAAGCCAAGCAGTGTCAATGGCCGCCCGGAGCAGGCAGCCAGGAGCACGCTGGAGTCATGAGTATGTGAGCAGTTATAGTGCCCACTTTTAAATTAAGCCAAACAATACAGCACTCATTGCTACTCAGAATTAGAGCCTTTACTTTCTTTTTTTACTTTTTGAGACTTTTATATATGAGTACAGTGCATTTTCTTCATATGTACCCCTCCCCCACAATGCCTCTGGTGTCTCCACATCCCCCTCTCAAATTCATACCCTCTTTTTCTAATATACATATACCATCCTACTGAATCCAATTAGTGTTGCCCATATGTACATGGGTGTAGGACTGACCACTTGGTCATGGGCATTCTAACAGAAGGATTCATCCTTGAAGAAAACATATTCTCCCTCCCTTAGCAGCCATTGACTGCTTGCCTGTAGCTCTTCAACTAAAGTAGGGTCTTGTGAGGCCCCTTCCCTCATCCATGCTGGGACATCAACTATGTGGTCTTGTGCAGGCAACCATACTGCTGCGAGTTTATGAGCACAAGATGACACTATTTCGCAGCTGTCCTCCTAGTCTTACAATCTTTTCACCCCTCTTCCACAATGTTCCCTGAGCCTTGGGTATATGTGTTTAGATGGACATTTGGGGATGTGCACTCCACAGTCTGCATTCTCTGCATGGGTGAGAGCTGCACTTAGTTATTGATACAAGGTTGAGTATTTAGGAGGCAGTTGGATACTGTATCAATTTAGTAAAATATAGTAGTAGGTTTTCCTTTAGGGTGTGTGACCTCTCCAGCCATGGGTTCTTGACTAGGTTTATAGTGCCAGGCATGAGTTCCCTCCTTTTGAATGGGTCTTAAGTCCACTTAGACAGCTGTGGGTTACCCCTAAGATATTTGTGCCATCATTACATCACCGGGCATGGCTTGTTGGGCTGGTCAATACTGTAGTTCACAGGATTTACACCTGGTAACTTTTCTCTCCCAGAAGCTTGCAAAGCACCTGCTGACACCATAAGAGCTAGCACTGGGGTCAGTACCAGTTGATTTCTCCAAGTGCCATGACTGAAGTGTGTAGTGTCTTCAGCAATACTGCCTTACCCTTGAGTTCTGGCAGGCAACAAAGAGCAATGACAATAGCCTGTGTGTGGGGGGGGATGAGGAGTCACTTGGACTGCCCTGACCAACAACTCAAAGGGAGGTATCCTTGCCTGGCAGTGGCTTTTT